AGAGAGATGAGAGAGAGGTGGAGAGAGAGATGAGAGAAGAAGAGAGAGAGAGAGAGAGAGAGAGAGAGAGAGAGAGAGAGAGAGAGAGAGAGAGAGAGAGATCCAGAACGAGAGAAATAGACTTGCCTACAGACAACGATGACGTTACACACAAAACAAAAATGAGTATATCACAAATAAATGAAATCACCATGCAATGGCTGCCGCGGGCAGCAACAAAGAATCCTCAACTTTACGCTCAGATTTAATTACACTCGATAATCGAAAGCAAGCGCAATATTCGCCTCAACATACGGCAGGATTATGATTAGCTATAGATATAATCAAGAGCTAATAATACCTTATACCTTATACTATATATAATTATAGCCCTTTCGCAGGGGCGGATCCACGGATTTTTGAAAGGGGGGTGTCCAGGAAGAAATAAAGGGCACCTTTTCCTGCTTAATTTTTCTTGTGTTTTGAAAAGCTGCCGAAGGCCACTGAGGGGGGCTTGGGAGACCTCTCCCAAGAAAGATTTTAAAAATTGGTGCATTACTGCAAAATTGGACCCCCCGGACCCCCCTGCCCTGCTTCGCTCTGCTACAGTGGCAGCAGAGCGAAGGGCTATAGTTCTAGAGATAGAGCTAGATTATGTCTATGACGACCCCGCTTCCTACGCCCCTCACTACAGGGCACTCACCTTGCTAAATCTCATCACGAGGCGTATGTCTGGCGTGCATGCAGTCGCACCCCGTAAGAAAATATCCATGTGAAATAAAGACGTTATGAATATAAAGAGGCGATACAGAGAGGATATAAAGAGGCGGAGAACGGTGAGATGCAAACAGCGGCAGACAGCAAACAGCGGTTAATACACCCTGTAGGCTGCGTGTGGCTGTGTTCGCACACGCGGATTTGCGTAAGCTGCTGCTATAATATTATCTCGCAGCGCGATGTTTGCGTACGGGGAGCAGCGGATGAAATGTCGTCTACCTCGTGCATACGTAATCGACGTTATAATCCGTAGATAGAGCGCGTTTGTCTACCACGGATAGAGCCAGCAGCTTTGCGCTGGATCAACATCATATGGGGAAGGGCGAGGCGGGGAATACAACTCTGATGGATCAACATGATGGCTGGGTGGGGATGGCGGGGCGGGGAATACAACTCTGATGGATCAACATGATGGCTGGGTGGGGGATGGCGGGGAATTCAGCACTGATACGAGAAACTTAGATATAGTCCTTTTAGTACGGAGGCGGCGACTCATGAGGCGGCAATCTGCCTCCGGCTTTGTCCCTCACCGCATCGACACAGCCGAACTCTTGTGAACTCTAGAACTATAGCTACAGGTGGAGCTATAAGGTGGAGCGAATGGCTATAGTTGTAGGCGCACCGGTTACCTCGACCCACCCGTCAATTCGGCTCACCAGTTCTAGAGCTACTAAACTCTTGTCCACTCGCCTTCCGGCATAATAATTTTTACTCTCCTGGCGCCACGCAGCGGCGCAATCTGGCACTATATTCTACTATCATTACAAAATATTATTCCACTATTCAATGAAAATTTGCGCAATACTTTATAATACACTAGTCGTAAGAATACATGAAATAGCGCCAATATGTCTAGTAAATATTTCACCTCTTTGTTATAGGATCAGCTGTTGTTTGAACGTCCGTCAACGTTTTGTACGTCTAATGTTTTGTGTTTAAGTTTTTTGTACGTAAAATGTTTTGTGTGTCAGTGTTTTAACGTATAGCCTATAGCTCTAGACATATCACATGGAATATCACAGCAAGCGGTATTTATTGACCAGCATGTACAACAAACGCAATAAACGTCACAGAATTTAATACAGCTACCGGCATTTCGCTCAATAAACTATGACGTCAGATGAAACCTCTGTCTGAGCTATATCACATTTACATAATTTATATTATCGTGACATGTATAGTAATCCCGACACCTTTATTTTATTAGAAGAAAATACATTTAAAGCTGGTTAAAATGAAAGTTTACCAATCGCCTTATACTGCTATTAGTAGGGCGAATAAGCGCATGAATTGTGCACTTTTGGTTAAAATTGTAAAACTTTTCACACGCGCACTACATGAGGCCCTGAGGAAGGCATGCAACAGTAAGCATCCGCAAATTCTTCACCAATTGTTGTACTATTTCTGATCTAGAAAAGGCTTCTTTCTTTTTTTCGCTGAAATTCGGCACTAGAGTGCAATAATTTGCCTTATGCACGCAAGTTAGATGCCTCGTGGACGTCTAGAAAGCATTAGAAGTAAAATTTGTCTTGTCGTGTAGTTGTGACATTCCGTCAGGTGGCGTAGCCCCAGTGACCGGTTGGTCATTTTTGTGTTTGAAATGTGTTCAAACTACTTTGCAGAAATTCGCAACATAGAGCTGGCAAAAGTTTCGAGCGGAGCATAGAGCATAAATCTGTAGTTATTTAACATGAATAAAGTGTATGTTGTGTATGCGAAGTAACAGTGTGAGTATTTTTAATTAATTTCTGTTCGATGCTTATTCAGGCCTGCTGCCTATGGATGCCTTCTACTGTTGTACAACACATGAAGATTTTCTGATCACCTGAAGTGCCAATTGAACAGCGCCACCTGTTGGCGTACAGCGTCCCTTGGCGGGTTACCGGGTATTGCGTTATACCACTATTCGAGTTTTGGCTATAGTTTCAATAATATTCATCCTCAATCTTTAGTCAAAAGATAGCTCAAATGATTTGCAAGTATGTATACTAATACTATAGCAGAAACCTATTGAGTGTAGTTATTGAATAACTAACTTAAAACAACTCCCCATGTCTGGCTTTAGTAATGACAGGGCGTCTACGCGGACATAACACTAATGAGCTTTTGAATCAGGCAATAGATAGTTATATATGACTATAATTATGGCATATGAAGCTGCAACTTCAGCACTCTTTTATTAAATTTATACCCGATCAAGGGGTAATGCGAAATTAAAGATCTCCGAAACAAAATTATATTATGGTGTGCCTATATGTTTATAATGAAGAACAAATACTTGTCGCTGTAGCTCGTCATGAAAAATAAGTCCCGACGCCTCTTGTTACTAAACATAGGTTGCCCTAGCTGACGTACCCCTAATAGAATTTAAGACAGCCAATAGGTGGCGATATGTGCATTTCTGTCCGTGACGTATTGAACCGTAAATTCAGCCACTTCCAAAGGAATGAAACGGGGTTTTGTTGCGACAATACTTTTAAATTGAAGAGAACATAGTCACCACTCATTTTAACCTTCATAAGGTGCCTAGTCGTACTAAATTATCGCTCTAACATCGCATCAGATCTCTGTTCGCGTAATGCCAGTATCTCTGCGATAAAATCGTATTTTGTTGTATTCATACGTTTAAAAGGAGAGAAAATATTCCTCGCAGTAGGTTGATATAAAACATAAATCCCGATACCTCTCTTTATACTCACAGGGCGCCCTCGCTAACATGACGCCAATGAAGCTTAGATTAGCCAATAGATGGCTATATGTGTGTTACATGAAATCAGGAGTCTATCAATATATATATAATATATATTGATAGACTCCTGATGAAATATGACTGTATGCCCCGTACGTAACCGTGTGCCCATTATTAAACGAATGAAATTCTAAGTCTTTTCTTCTTATGTATTTGGTCGAATATTTACTTTTAATAGTATATACTATAATTATAATAGTATAATATAATAGTGTACTAGTATATAATAGTATTACTATGTATATATATAGTGTTGTGTGTGTGTGTGTGTGCTGTGTGTGTGTAGTGTGTGTGTGTGTGTGTGTGTGTGTTGCGTCCGCGTTGCCGTTGCGTCCGCGTTGCGTGGTGTGTGTGTGTGTGTGTGTGTGTGTGTGTGTGTGTGTGTGTGTGTGTGTGTGTGTGTGTGTGTGTGACTGTGTGTCTGTGCGTGCGTGCATGCGCGCGCGCGTGTGTGTTTATCCGATCTAAGCAGATCTGAGAAAAAGTGAGGCCCTGCCAGAGCCGATGGTTCGTTTAGATGCTGTTTCGCACTAATATAATATTATAAACTATCACCCCTGAACGTAGATAAATTGACCAGTAAATGGCACACATAGATAGCAGGCCTGAATGTTTCAAGCATATGCTACGTACACTCTATTCATGTTCAATTACTACAAAGCTAACGTCATATGAATGCCTTAATTGCTACCAATAACATGATAAGCATTTTACAGATATCCGCAGAGTGGATTTTTCTTTGCAAAATCCACAACAAAAAATGCAAAAAATTGCATTTCATGGCGCGATGTAGTGCGACATCTGTGAACAGAATAGCGAAAGACTACTGTTGCATGCCACCTATAGCGGTTAATATTATACTAGAACGACCTCCTGTTACATTTGTTTATGAGTTTATTGTAGATTGTAGAGTTTATTATAGTTTTTGAGTACGTTTGTTTACGAATAGGCTCGCAAACGCACGTTTGTAGTACGACATCACAGAAATTAGGACGAAGGAATTCGCGCCGCGCACATGGAACATTTCCATTTTCCATGGAACATTGAACACGTTACTCGCATTGTACTATCTCTCGATTTTGCTACGGAATCACATACAATCCGGGATGCGGAATCAGGACTAATCCGGGATCTGGGATCGCGCACGCACGCGCATGCGCACGACCAGCTACGCGCAATGACGTGATTTCACGTGGTTAGTCGCAAGGTTTGTATTTGAGCTGTTCTGCTATTATGCGTGACATTTGTAGAACGTTCCGCATTTGTTTGTCGACCCATATAGTTTATTGATTTGTGCCAATCTAACGTCAGAACGCCGCCGTAACTCCATCCGGATGGATTTACTTGACGGCGCCACCGTGCATCGACGGTGTTCGTCACACTCCTGCCAACGCAAATACCGAGTGCTGCTGAGCTTAGACTGCCTCTGTCTGACTGTTCTCTCGACTTCCTCATAAACGCAAGGAGACAACATCCATGGAGTCTATAATGAAAGAAGTGGTCTAGACTCCTGCATGCTACGTTCACCTATACATATTGGACTGATCAACTGAAAGGAGACGATGAAACCATACCAAACAGTTAGTGCTTTTTAATTAGAATTTTCCGAACGCAATAGCGCGCATGAACATGGTAGCACGTATACAGACTTACGCAGACACGAGTATAAATACGCAAAATTGCACACAGGCACCCATGCACGGAAAGCCGCACAAACACGATCGCCGACCCCTGTTCAAAAGACATGTATATCGAAAGCTACTTGGCTTGTTTGCTGTTAACTGATATACCACTAATACTAGTAAACAGGCTGAAAAAACGAAACTCTAAACCGAAATGGTCCCTTGTCGACGCCACAAAACATCGAGGGCGACTTGCCTTTATCGTCAGAGCAAATACCGGACTGGGCGCCAAATTGCGCTAATGGGGCAACCGCGTTTTTAAATATATATATAAAACCCGCAAGATTCCCTGACGCCTTCAATAGATGAGCGTGAAGTCGTCAGGAGGAAGCAAGCTACTCCTTATACTACTACTCTCTCTCTCTCTCTCTCTCTCACACACACACACACACACACACACACACACACACACGCACGCACACACGCACGCACGCACGCACGCACGCACGCACACAAGCATGCACACACACACGCATACATCGGACCTGGATTCACGTTTGTCACTTAAGACGAAATTACTCAGCCTTGTTGAAAGTAATTATTGATATGTCGGCAATGCTACGGAACTTGTCAGAAAGACGATGTCATTCGACAATGCAACGGTCACTTGTCGGCGCCGCCACAAAACATCGATGGCAACTTGCCTTTATGGTCAGAGCAAATACCGGCCTGGGCGCAAAAATACACAAAAGACGTAAACAATTGTGGATAATGCTATAAAACGCGAGTTTGTCGGGCACGTTGTCGGGAGAAAGCGTCAGACATCGTTACTACTTCGCCGATCAATAGAGTCAGCATGCGTTTCTACGTCGCACTACTTCTTGGCGCGCTGGTTGCGCTGCTGCTGTGTGACACGGCCAGCGGAGGGGCGATGCGAAGCCGCCGTTTTGCTTCAGGACACGGTGAGTGTGACAAATAATCTATGTAACATACATTACAGCAGGGGCGTGTAAATTGATGTCACTATTAGCCGGTAATATCTTTATTTTCGCAGAGATACAACTCCATTCTGCGCTGCATATAATTCTATCCGACCTATTTATTATATCAGGACGAATTCAGATGAACGCCAGTTAATCGCTGTATGGTTCGCGCGTATGGTTCGTTTGTAACGCGCGTATGGTTCGTTCGCAGATGATTTCTCTCACTACATCGTTGGCGGGACAGAGGTGGCGCCGGGAGCGAGGCCGTACCAGGTATGCAGCCACGTGACGCAACGCATTCGTTACTTCGTCTTTTACTTAATGAGTTCAAGGTTCGTTGATATAGGTAGTAGTCGATAGAGATCAACGACAAGTTAAATTTGTTCTGAGCGAGCTTGTTGCAGGTACGATAATTTATAGCATATATGTATATATATATATATATATTATATTGCCTCTACGACACAGAAATAGGCTACAGACGTGTGTCATTACCGTGTTTCTGTGCCTGCAGTGAGCGGTTTTACTGCTGTTTTCATATTATTCTGCATTAACTATTCTGCTTGCGGAATAGGTGGGACTTATTGATAATGGACAGACCGGTGAACCATTTTGTGGAGGTTCGCTGATCGCCGAGGACTGGGTGCTGACTGCTGCTCATTGTGTGTAAGTTTACAAACGCATAATTATCGTCAGAGCCCCCCTCACACACACGTACACACACAGACACGCACACGTACACACACAGACACGCACACGCACACGCACACACGCGCGCGCGCACACACGCTCACACGCTCGCACGCAAACGCGTGTATGAAGCAATTACTTAATGTTTTTAGCATGCGCATTTCTGCGACTCTACTTTACATTTAACGAAGCAACCGCATGACGAATATCCCAGTCTTGCTCATGTACGTTATGTACGGCATCAAATGCCACAGAAACATCGTTGACGCATGAACATTATAGTCCATTATCGCGCATGGTTCATGGTTCTTTACCGTTTGCCTTGACAAACAGGAATTTTTTACATGGGTTTCTCATTTAATTTCTAGTACCAATACAGATGTTGAAGCCATCGTTGTCATGCTTGGTACAGAAAACTTTAACGGCATTGGCGGTGAAACAAGACGTGTAAGTAATTAAACAAAGTCATTTTTTATATTCATCACCTATCTATCTATCTATCTATCTATCTATCTATCTATCTATCTATCTATCTATCTATCTATCTATCTATCTATCTATCTATCTATCTATCTATCTATCTATCTATCTATCTATCTATCTATCTATCTATCTATCTATCTATCTATATACTATCTATCTTTCTAGCTATCTAGCTATCTATCTCTATCTTATATCTATCTTTTTTTTCTTTAAAATTCTATCTATCTAGTCTATCTATCTTCTATCTATCTATCTATCTAGCTATCTATCTATCATCTATCTATCTATATCTATTATTCTATCTATCTATATATCGGATATTATCTATCCATCTAATAGCTATCGTTCTATCTCTGCCTCTGCTATAATTAATTATAATACACCTATCTAGTTGGTAATATATTATTATATGTATATTCGCTCCTCCATTCCCCTTTAGTTCGTCATAACTCCCATCATCATCCATCTTATCATCCATCCATCATCTATCCGTCAGTCCATCCATGCCTCCATCCATCCATCCATCCAGTCGTCATCCACCATCATCCATCCATCATCCATCCATCCATCCAATCAGCATCCATCCATCCATCATCCATCCATCCATGCTTCCATCCTCCATCCATCCATCCATCCATCCATCCATCATCATCATCGCATCAGTCCATCCATCATCGCATCCATCATCCCAGTGCATCATATAGTCCATTCATCTCCATCATCCGTCATGCGTCCAGTCATCCTCTCCATTCATCCATCCATCGCTCTCAAGGTCGCATCCATCCGGCTCATACCATCCTCATCCATCCATTCATCCATCCATCGCATCATCATCATCACATATATCCATCCATCTCATCCTCCATCCATCCATCATCATCCATCATCATCCATCCATCTCCATCATCGCCTCCCTCCATCGGATGCTCCACTCCTTCATCATCCACATCCATGCCATCAGGTCATTCCCCATGCATCAAGCCCATCATCATCATCAGCCATCATCCTCCTCCATCTCTATCCATCATCCGATCAATCCATATCCATCATCTCCATCATCATCCATCATCCATCCATCCATCCATCCATCCATCCATCCATCCGTCTATTTATCTATCTATATACAGTATATTTACCTCTCTCTCTCTCTCTCTCTCTCTCTCTCTCTCACCTAAGCAACAAACTATACCAATTTTTACGCGTGTAGTTATAGATATAGGACCCAATCCCAGAGATACCATTATTATAATCCATTGAATCCGCTCTATAGCAAATTCTCTATTGATCTCTTGCAGGTGTCGTGCATCATCGTGCACGAAGGCTACAAGGGAAACACTAACTCGGCAGACATCGCGCTCATCCAGCTGTCTGTGTCGGCGTCGAACATCCCCAATGTGGCCCCTGTCACGATGGCAGCACTTGCCAATAACGTGGATGCATTAACGGGCAAACCCTTAGTGATCAGCGGATGGGGAACAACAAGCTCCGGTGGTACGCGCATCCACCTTCCAAGCGACGTTCTCCAATCCTTCTCCCCTCGCGACCCTTTCCCCAAGCTTCATATCTAACCTATATTTTCCAAGCCTGCCCTCTCGCCGGCCTTCTCCCAAGCTTCCCCGTCGTATTTCTTCAAGCTCCACCTTCCCCGACTATGTACTCGTTTGTATTCGTAAGTGAGGACGAAATTGCGAATAGGTGGATAATTAGTAAGTTACTGAGAACGTATAACAGGCGCTGCTAACTTAGTCTGTGTTTGTTGCTGCCGCTCACAGGTCAGCAGTCAAACGTCATGTTGGAAGCGGATGTTATAGGCATCAGCCAAGCTACCTGCAGCGGACAGTACGGCGGTGGTATCGATGACGGAATGGTGTGTGCAGCCGCTCCCGGGAAGGATTCGTGCCAGGTACGCGTTGATGTTGGGTGGGCCCGACACGCCGCCATTAATAACGAGTATCGCTACTAATTAAACAACTATCATATATATAATATCTCATAATATTCTTGTCCATACCTTGTCTAAATCTTTGTAAGAATCGTCCTAATCTTGGCATACTAACATTGTGGTGAATAGTATAGCAGCAGCAACATTATACGTAAGCTGGTGATCGACCGTGTGGCGTATGTTATATGCCTCTAACCGCTAGAGCCGCAGCTTCAGGGGCAAAGCGGACTGCTGCACCCGCCGCACAGGGTGCGAATTTGGCGCGTTCCAACGGCGCTGAACACAAGTCACGCATGAGCATTGCTTGGGTTCTGTGCGCAAATGGCGCACGCCAGCTGCTAAACGCGCGCGCGCCATTTGCGCAGGTAAACCAGACCGCACACGGTCAGAATTTGTCGCAGCGCCGCTGGCGCGCGCCGAATTCGCACTGTGTGCGGGGGCCTTTACCCTATTCCACGTGTGATTTATATCTTAAAAATTTGCCCCCATATGAATTTGCACAGCCTACGGCCGTTACCGTATTCCAAACTGTTTTAGGGTGACTCTGGTGGACCGATGGTAGACGAAAATGGCGGCGACCCAATTCTGGAGGGCGTGGTGTCGTTCGGAGAAGGTTGTGCGGATCCGGACTACGCGGGAGTGTACACCAGAGTGTCTTTCTACCGAAACTGGGTGGATAGCATGCTTCAATTGACTACCTGCCCATCGCCACCCTCAAACACCGACGGACCAGAACCAACATCATATACCGATTCGTCAGGACCAACCTCTTATACCGATTGGTCAGGACCGCCCCAACATACCGATTGGTCAGGACCGCCCCCACATACCGATTGGTCAGGACCGCCCCCACATACCGATTGGCCACCATACCCATGCCCGTGCCCGTGCGATCACTCCGGGCCACCCCCGGATGAGAATTAGTGCGACTGATAGGTGCCCTGCGTGTCGCGTTGACATGTTAGTACGTTTTCAGGAAATCGACAATTTGCTCTCGTAATATACGATTGCTGGTATCTCTCCACGGTATCGACTAGGATGCGGTCAGCAGTGAATGACTATTAATTTACTCCTGAGTAGATGACAAATGCGCAAATCAATAACAATACAATATATTGTTATAGATTTGCGTATTTGTCATCTACTCAAGAGTAAATTATATTTTTAATAGCGACAATAATCGTAGTTTAGATTATAGTTGTTATAACGACAATGGTTAAAGCTAATTGGTAGATAGATGGTACAGCGTCCTTCCCTGCTGTGCCACAGCAGAGGGATTCTGTGTCCATCAATAAAACAATAAAAATTAAGATATTATAACATATGGCAATGGTGGATAAGTATATGGCATAAAACACATTATCATGGATTACCATTATAGATGGATTATCAATAATTAATATACAGATAGTATGTTAGATACGATCATATGGGATGGTAGCGGTAACATCGCGTACAAAAAATGGTTCTACAATAAAGCATATAGTTCGCAAAGACATTGTTTTGAAGACTCGTATTTGTCACGTTTGTCTCAGCAGTATTTGGCACTTTTGTGCAAACCGTATTTAACGCTTTTGTTAGTATGTCGTCGTGACCAATTAAACCGAGAACATGTGCGGAGTTGGCTGGCTGCCAACCTCTCATTAACTCATAGTAACTCTGGGAGCCTCACGCCGCGCGTACCTTCATTCACTCTCTTCAACAAACATCGGTGAACGTCGCGATGATCTCTCTGGAACCTTTTTCCTTTCCAATGGTTCACAAAGACACCCGCGCACGCACGCAGACATGCATGCACGTACGTACGCACACACGCACGCACGCACGCACGCACGCACGCACGCACACACGCACACGCACCACACACACACACACACACACACACACACACACACACACACACACACACACACACACACACACACACACACA